TGGTTAAGGTATTACAAATGTGTCCTCATCCCCCCATTAACCCCCAACCTCCCCCCAAACCCCCCCTCCCCACACTCATACTATCATCCCCCTGTTGTCCGTGTCCATTGGTTTGGCTTATATGCATGCATACAAGTCCTTTGGTTGATCTCTTCCCCTTATCCCCACCCTCCTCTACTTTCCCTCTGGGGATTGATAGTCTGATCGCTGTTTCTCTGTCTTTGGGTCTGTCCCTGTTCATGTTGTTCTCTATATTCCACAGTCTATGTTGTTCTCTATATTCCACAAATGAGTGAGATCATGTGGTATTTATCTTTCTCTGACTGGCTCATTTCACTTAGCATAATGCTCTCCAGTTCCATCCATGCTGTTGCAAATGGTAAGAATTCCTTCTTTTTTACCGCAGCGTAGTATTCTATTGGTAGATGTACCACAGTTTAATTGGTGGCATTTTTATAGACCAATAATGAACTCTCAGGAAGAGGAACTAAAAAACAATCCCATTTACCATTGCAAAAAAAAAAAAAAAGATACCAGGAATAAATTTAACGAAGGAGGTAAAAACCTATACCCAGAAAACTATAGGATATTGAAAAAAGAAGTAGAGGAAGATACAAACAAGTGGAAGCATATACTGTGTTCATGGATTAGAAGAATTAACATAATTAAAATGTCCATGCTATCCAGAGCATCTACAGGTTCAACACAATCCCTAATCAGCTGCCAATGGCATATTTCACAGATCTAGAACAAATATTCCAAAAATATATATGGAACCAAATAATACTTTGAATAGCCACAGTAACTCTGAGAAAGAAGAAGAAAATTAGAGGGATCACAATACCAGATTTCAAGTTATACTACAAAGCTATTATAATCAAAACAACCTAGTACTGGTGCAAGAACAGACACATAGATCAATGGAACAGAACAGAGACCTCAGAAATCAACCCAAGCCATTACACTCAATTAATATTTGACAAAGGAGACAAGAACATACATGGAGTAAATGGTTTTGGGAACATTGAGCAGATACTAGTACGTGAAAAAAAAAGAAACTAGATTGACAACTTATGCCATACACAAGAATAAACTCGAAATGGATAAAAGCCTTAAATTTAAGTCATAAAACCATAAAAATCCTAGAAGAAACCATAGGCAGTAAAATCTCTGATGTCTCACTTAGCAGAATTTTCGAAGATACATCACCTAGGGCAGTGGTCGGCAAACTGCGGCTCACAAGCCACATGCAGCTCTTTGGCCCCTTGAGTGTGGCTCTTCCACAAAATACTGACTTCTGCGCATGGGCCACGAAATTTCAATAGCACTATATGTGCGCGCCTGCACATGGTATTTTGTGGAAGAGCATGTGGCTCGCGAGCCGCAGTTTGCCAGCCACTGACCTATGGCAAGAGAAACAAAGGAAAAAATAAACAAATGAGACCACATCAAAATAAAAAGTTTCTGCACAGCAAAAGAAATCATCCTCAAAATTAAAAGGGAGCACACTATATGGGAGAACATATCTGCCAATGATACATCTGATAAGGGGTTAAATTCTAAAACATATAAAGAACTCATACAGTTTGACAAAATGAAATCAAACAGTCCAATTTAAAAATGGGAAAAAGACCTGACTAGACACTTCTCCAAAGAGGACATAGAGATGGCTGAGACATATGAAAAAAATATTCAATGGTACTAATCATCAGTGAGATTCAAATTAAAACTACAATGAGGTATCACTTTACACCTGCCAGAATGGCTACCATTAATAAATCAACAAATATCAAGCGCTGGTGAGGATGTGGAGAAAGGAGAATCCTAGTACACTGCTGGTAAGAATGCAGACTGGTGCAACCATTGTGAAACAGTATTGAAATAATTAAAAATGGATTTGATTCCCAGTCAAGGGCACATATCTGGGTGGCAGGTTTGATCATTGGCCCCAGTCAATTAATTGCATCTCACCTCTCTCCCTCCTTCCCTCCCTCTCTCTCCCCCTCTGTTCCTTCCTCCATCCCCCCCTATCCCTTCCCCGCTTCCATGCTTTATAAAAATCAATGGAAGGCCGCCTGGTGTCGCTCAGTGGTTGAGCATCCACCTATGACCCACATGGTTTGATCTCCAGTCTGAGCACATGCCTGGGTTGCAGGCTCGGTTCCCAGTGGGGAGCATGCAGGAGGCTGCCAATCAATTATTCTCTCTCATCATTGATGTTTCTGTCTCTCTCTCTTCCTCTCTAAAATTATATATATATATAAAGCAGAAATATGCTAATTGACTCTCATACCATCGCAAAAGATGGCAGCGCCCACAGCCAATAAGGAGGGAATATGCTAATTGACTGCCACACCCTAAAAGATGGCAGCTCCCACAGCCACAAGATGGCAGCGTCCAGTCCCCTCATCCCCGCCAGGGTGGCAAGCGCGGCAAGGGGGCAGGCCTGGCCTTGCCGCACACCTGCCTCTGGAATCCCCCAACCGCCCAGGGCTGGCCCGAGGCGCAGGCAAGCCTCGGATGGTGGCTTCCCAGCTGACACCTGAGGCACAGGCAAGCCATGGATGGCGGCTGCCCAGCTGCCCAAGGCCACCTGAGGCTCAGGTAACCAGGGCCGGCCAAGGCTTGTGCTGCCGGCAGTGGCAGCAGCAGAGGTGTGATGGGGCGTTTGCTTCTCCTGATCGCCGGGTTGCCTCTCGCCCCTGAGGGCTCCCGGAATGTGAGAGGGGGCAAGCACATGCACCAGGCCTCTAGTATTTAATAAAATAAAAACCAATGGGAAAAATATCCACTGGTAAGGATTAACATGCACAAAAATAATTAAAAATGAACTGTTTCATCCAGCAATCCCACTTCTGGGACTATATCCTAACAATCCTAAAACATCAATCAGAAAGAATATATGCACTCCTATGTTCATAGCAGCGTTATTTCCAATAGTCAAGATCTGGAAACAGTCCAAGTGCCTATTAGTAGATGAGTGGTAAAAAATGCTGTGGTACATTTACACAGTGGAATATTATGCAGCTGTAGAAAAAAAGAAGGATCTCTTACTCTTAGAAACAGCATGGAGGGATCTGGAGATTATTATGCTAACTAAATAATATAAGTCAGTCAGAGAAAGACAGATATCACATGATCTCAATTATATGTGGAATCTAATGAACAGAATAAACTAACGAACAAAATAGGTCCAGAGACATGGAAGCATGGAACAGACTGACAGATCTTACAGGGAATGGTGGGGTGGTGTGGGGGGAGGGGGAGGATAAGAAGAGATTAATCAAAGAACTTACATGCATATATGCATAGCCCATGAGCACAGATAACAGTGCAGTGAAGGCCTGGGATAGGACAGGAGCCAGGAGGAGTGGGGCAAAGGGGTCAGGCAGGGAATGGGATGCATCTGTAATATCCTCAACAATGAAAATAAAGTTTAAAAAATCTTTGAGAGGTAATTCTAATATCTGTCATCTCACTGTTGGCATCGATTGATTATTGATTGTCTCTTTTTTATTCAGCTTGAGATCGTCCTGGTTCTCAGTATGAGAGTGATTTTCCCAATAAAACTTACGTTTTTTTTCTTAATGTGTTAGGAGATCTGGGTCTTCTTTAAGCTTTCAGTTATAGGTGGCTTTCTCTGGCATGGTGTTGTCTGTGGGATGGTTTTGCCACCTTGTTAGTACCAGGTTGAGGGGAGTCCAGATTCCCCACTTAGCCCTGCTGACATGTGAAGTAGAGGGAGCTCCTTGTTTACTGATCAGGGGTGGCAGTTCCTGCAGCGTCCACATGGTCTCCATGGACACTGCATTGGAGGTGACAGTTCTAACTCCCCATTGTGCCTCCTATACTTCCCCATCGGGACAGAGAAAGGGCATTTTGTTACTTCAAGGTGAGGTTGCAAGTCCAGTCTGCCTTTTAGTCTACTGACCCTACAGGGGTGGAGGGGCTCCTTACCATCCGGCAGAAAGGGAAGTCTCGGCTTTCTACGTGGGCCTCTCCGACATCATCCTTGTTGGAGTGTTGAGCACCCTGTTACTGTCTCATGGGGTTGGATGTATCCATTCACACTCAGCCTTTGCTGGTAGGGATGGAGATGGAGCTACAGTTTTTCTGTGTAATTTGGTGCCAGTGTGGAAATTGACTGAAGGTTTTCTGTCCTGCTAGGTTGCCCCTTAGCAATTTTATGCAGATAACAACTTGGCATTCTAGACCATTCCTCCTTCAAGACTAATGAAATAAGAGAAACTATACACACGTAAGATAGTTTCATGTAATATGAAAACAGCAGCACAATTTCTCTGCAATAGAATAGGAAGTATTTTATTGGTTGGGGTTTGTTTGGGCTTTTGTTGTTGGGTTGCTAGCTTTTTCGGGTGCAAGTTTGGAATCTGTGAGGCAAAAGGAAAACCCAGTGAACTCATTGTCATGTCTTTTCTCAGATCCCAAAGTCTCTATCTGGTCTGCCTTTGTCTCTCCTCCACTCAGAGTCTTCTTATATTTGTTCTGTATATAATGCCTAGGGGTCCCCATTGTGCTTAGCAGGAGAAATAAGGAGAAGTACATCTACTGCCTCGTCCAGAGTGTGGCAGTTGCTTTTTTCTTTCAAGGCCAGCAGTTGTAACTCCTTATACCAAATCCTCATTCTGAGTATTGCATCCTATGTAAATCTGATGCCACAGGGGCAGAAACAGTGCACCCATCCTGGTTCATTTGGAGGTTAGCTCACAGTGGATAGGGCTCTGTGCCGTATAGCCAGAGAAACCACATGCTGTTAGGCAGGAGCTCTTGGTCTCCAGTGTTACACTGTCCCTTATTCTGTCTCCCTAGTTATTAATCTTGGTAGTCTTTTCCTGAAAATCAGTGACTTGGTATTTACATTTTTATTTTACTGTTTTCCCACAGATAAGGTTAGTAATTCAAAGATGATAGATTACTAACATTTCAATTTTATTTTACAAAATACTAAAGAAATTTAAAGTACTCTTTTCCTTATCTAGGCATTGAAAAACAATTTAGGCCTTTTTATTTACATAACTTAGAAGAAGATATAGAAGAGGACGTGCAGAGTTTAAAGGTAAGTAATAGAGCAGATGCTAAAAATGTTAATATATTTTTAGTCATGAAAACCAAAGCAATATAATGTGTTACTGAGATTGGAGGTAAGCTAGCTTGGTAGCCACATAAAAGAAAATTATCAATTTTATGACGATATCAACTTGGCATTCACATTCTGGACCCATTCCCTCTTCGAGACTAATGAAATGAGAGAAACTGTACACAGCAATGTGAAAACAGAAGCACAATTTCTCTTGAATAGAATAGGAATTTCCCTAGGTGCATCAGTCAATTGGAAGAGGTCTTGAAAAATAGAAAGCCAACAGAATTACATTTGCTGAAACATGTAACAGAAAAGGCAAAGCTAACCCAGAACACAATGCTGAAGAAGTACCAGAGGAGCAAGTCTTGAGTCAATATAGAGAAGAAACAGCATGGCACCTAAGACATTGGCAAGGAGATTACTTGGGGTCCACAGTTGTATCAGTCATACAAGTTGGCTCCTCTCCCTAATTGCCTTGTGCTGAGCAACAAATGGAAGCAGCAGCTGCTTTGGGCTGAAGCGGTAAGTTTGAAGCCTGGAGTCAGAGAGGTGTGTCAAAGACAGTACCAACTAACCAACAAAGGGGAGCAGAGACCTGCCTTTCATACACACTCGGGAAAGGAGCTGCTGTCATTAGTCTTCCAGCAATATACTGCTGGAATCATGAAAAGGAGACTACAGTGAATAAAACGGGCAGGCAAATAGCAATTTTAAAATACAAAAAAGGAAAAACATTTGGACAGTTAAGAATTGCCAGACTTTCACACTTTAAAAGAGAGACATCTACTGCAAGCCAAGAAAGCCATCAAAGGGGGATCATGAAAGATAGTCACTAAGGCAGAAAAGCATTAGCACAGTAATCAGTAATAGTTCATATGATAAAAGGTTCAATTCACAATGTTGATAATAATAGCTTTAAATATGTACATGCTCATGAAAACATGGCCTCAAAGTATGGAAAGCAAAAATTGGCAGAACTCAAAGAAAAAATAGACAAATCCACAATCATAGTTGGAGATTTTAATACAAATTTCCTTCTAATTTGTAGAACAAACAAACAAAATTTGTCAGTAAGGATATAGAAATTTTGAAGAACATAATTAACACATTTGACCTAATGGAAATATCTAAAACAGTGTGTCTGATAACTGCAGAATACTTATCTTTAAAGGCTTTTCTGAACATACAGAACATTTTCACAAATTGACCTTGTACTGGAATATAAAACGAGTCTCAATCAGTTTGAAGAATTGTGATCACATAAAGAGTGATTGCATTCTCTGACTGCATTTCAGTTATGCTAGAAATTAATGAGAAGATAATTAGAAAATTCCATTGGTTAGAAGTTAACAAATATACTTTTAAATACCCTTTGGGTAAAAAAAAAATAATAATGGAATTTAGAAAATATTTGGAGCTAACAAAATGCTACATATTAAAATGTACATAATTTGCAAAGGAGTACTTAATAGTAAAATATAGTCATTGATTTATATATATATCAAAGTCTGAAAATGAATTAGCCAAACATTCATCTAGAGAAGATAGCAAAATAAATCTAGAGCAAATAGAAAGCAGGAAGAAGAGAAGAGCATAAATTAGTGACAAAAAAAGCAGCTAATAGAGGATCAAAAAATTTAAACGTTGGTTCTTTGAAAAGGCTAATAAAACCAACTAGTTAAGACCAGGGAAAATAGAAGACTGAAATAATGAGTTAAAGAGGCATCACTATAGCTCCTGTAGACATCAATGTGGTATTAAGAGGATATTGTGAACAGCTGTTTGCTAATTAATTTTAGAACTTAGATAAAATGGGCAAATATCTAGAAATAAAGTATAACTTAGCAAAACTGACTCAAATAGAGTTAAAAACCTGCTATTCCTGTAACCACTAAAAAAGATAGAATCAGTGATGGAAAATTCTTCCCATTAAGAAAATTCCACAGCCAGGTAGCTTCATCAATGATTTCTACCAAATATTCAATGAATACATTATTTCAATCTTATAAATTTGTCCAGATAATAGAGCAGAGAATTCTCCCAGACTCATTTTATGAGACTAGCATATCCTTTTTCCCCAGACTTGAAAAAGAAGATACAAGAAAGGAAAATTACAGGCCAATCACACTTAATATAGAAAGATGGTCCTGAATAAAATATGGCCAAATGAGTCCATCAATGGACAATAGAAAAGATATGTGGCCTCATTAACAGAGAAAAGCAGAATGAATTGATTATAATTTTTCATCACTAAGATCAACATTTTTATTTTTATTTTTTTACAGAGAGGAAGGGAGAGGGATAGAGAGTTAGAAACATCGATGAGAGAGAAACATCGATCAGCTGCCTCCTGCACACCCTCTACTGGGGATGTGCCCACAACCAAGGTACATGCCTTTGACCGGAATCGAACCTGGGACCCTTCAGTCAGCAGGCCAATGCTCTATCCACTGAGCCAAACTGGCTAGGGCAAGATCAACATTTTTAAAAGATTGGTAATACCAACTGTTGGTGAAAATGCAGCGTAAGAAGCACTCCCCATGCACTATTTGTTAAGAGTGTGAATTGGTTGCCCTAGCCAGTTTGGCTCAGTGGTTGGAGTGTCGGCCCATGGACTGAAGGGCCACAGGTTCGATTCCGGTCAAGGGCATGTACCATTGCAGCTAAATCCCCAGCTCCATTCAGGGCATGTGCGAGAGGCAACCAGTGAATGTGTCTCTCTCACGTCAATGTATTTCTTTCTCTCTCTCTCTCTCTCTCTCTCTCTCTCTCTCTCTCTCTCTCTCTCTTTCTCTGTCTCTCCCCATCCCTTCCACTTATTCTAAAAAAATCCATGGAAAAAATATCCTTGAGTAAGGATGAACAACAACAACAAATGGAGTGTGAATTGGTGAAGTTTATTGAAAATGAAGCATCTATGAAACTTTTAAAAGCATATAATTGTTGTAGCAATTCTACTCTTAATAATCTACGCACATGTATGCTCAAAGATTTAGGTCTAGGAGTTCCTTGCACCTTAGTTTTTTAGAGTAAAAAATTGGAAACAACCCAAATAATTTATAAGTAAATATATTAGATTATGATTCATTGAAACTACAGATATATAGCCATTTAAAAGAGATAGAACTGACATATAATGATACAGAAAGATCTTGAAGACTTGTTGTTAGTGAAAAAATGTCAAAATATACTTAAAGTATGATCCTTTTGAATATATGTGTGTGTATATGTACATATGTACATATTTCAAAATACATATGCAAATACCTAGAGAGATTAAAAGGATGAACAACCTACTCTGAGTAAGGATTACCTCTAGGGACTGGAAAAGAGTGTGGGTTGGAAGAAACAACATTCAGGTGTTGCTCTGTGTGACTGTGCACAATTTGAGTCTTTTAAAAGAAATTTGTACTTATATATTTTGTGTAATAAAACATAAGTATCAAGACAAAACAATCCTATATAATAAAACCCTAATATGCAAATTGACCGAACGGTGGAATGACCAGAACGACTGATCACTATGACGTGCACTGACCACCAGGGGGCAGATGCTCAATGCAGGAGCTGCCCCCTGGTGGTTAGTATGCTCCCACAGGGGGAGTGCTGCTCAGCCAGAAGCTGGGCTTATGGCTGGCGAGTGCAGCGGCGGTGGCAGGAGCCTCTCCTGCATCCACTGCAGGAGGGCGGTAAGGAGCGAGGGGTTCTAGACTACAAGAGCCCCAGACTGTGAGAGGGATGTCTGCCTGCCGGCTTAGGCCCGATACCCAGGGGGATCAGGCCTAAGCCGGCAGGCAGACATCCCTCTAGGGGTCCTGGACTGCAAGAGGGCACAGGCCAGGCTGAGGAGGTCCCACACCCCCAGTGCACGAATTTCATGCACCGGGCCTCTAGTTATTTTAATAAATTAAAATAACATAAAAATGCTTATCAGGTTAAATAAAAAGCAATTTATAAAATGCTACAAACTTTGCACATAATTAATATCCTCTAACAGTCTCCCCCAAATCACTCATGGTTTGTTCAGTGAATATTTTTAACTACTTACCTATGTAGCTTGCAGTCTATTAGGAGCAAAATTCAAATATGACTAAGAAAAAAGACTTGAAGAAATGACATAATGTTAATTTTTTTCTTTGAGTGAAGGCACATGTGTGACTTTCTTTTTAAATATAAATCCCTACATTTTCTATAATGAGTATTATTATTTTGTAGAAAAAAATTTTATTATGGTAAGATACATAAAATTTGCCATCGTAATAACCATTTTTAAGTGTACAGTTCAGTGGCATAAGTACATTCACAATGTTGTGCAACCATCAGCAGTTTCCATTTCCACATTTTAAAATCCCAAACAGAAACTTTGTACCCATTAAACTCCACATTTTTTTCTTTTCCCAGCCCCTGGTAACCTCTATTTTACTTTCTGTCTCTATGAATTGGCCTATTTTAGGTACCTCACTGATGTGTGATCACACAATATTCATGTTTTTGTGTCTAGCATATTCACTTAGCACAGCGATTTTCAACCTGTGTGCTGCGAGAATTTTTAAAACATGCAATACCTGACTGTTTAGTCAGGGACACTGACCTCTTTTTCCTTATATTGTGAAATAAAAAAATGACAACAGCCAGTACAACAGTAGTTGTCTGGCATGAATGAATCAAAATACCTTTTTTAAAAATCAGATCAGCAAAAAATGTAATATATTTTTGGGTGTGCCACAGAACTTAGTACTTATTTCATGTGTGCCATGAGATGAAAAAGGTTGAAAATCGCTGGTCTATATGTCCTTAGGCTATACCACATTGTTTTAATTACTCTAGCTTTGTAGAGATTTTTGAAATCAGAAAGTGTGAACCCTCCAGCTTTGTTCTCTTTTTTAAAAATTATTTTGACTATTTGGGGGAAACATTTATTCTTTTAAATATTTACTGCTTTTAAGAGCTATGTAAAATTTCTACCTTCTGAAAAGATTCATTCTTCTTAAAATAATTTTCTAGAACAATTTTTGCTGTTTACTAAAATATGTATTTTGCTCTGTATTATAGAAAGAGTATCCTAGCCCAAATGAAGTTGTGAAGAGAATGCAGTCTCTCCAAATAGACTGTGTAGCAATACCTCCAAGCAGGTCAAATTCAGGTAACTTAGACTATGGTTGAAAATCTGTTTATCCACTTATTTTTTTGCTCATACATGCACTCTACTCTCTAAAATATTATTCACAACCGCATGAAAAACAGAAGAAGCTATACAATTTACCACCTGTCATAAAGGAATTTACAATGTATTCGAAGCCAAGATACATATATTTGAAATGTTAAGTAACATTGAGTTCACCAAAATCATAAACTCTCCTGAACATGAGTCCTAAAATATCTGATAAGGAGAAAATGATGGCTCAGGAAAAAGACATTTCCCAAGTCCTTGAGAAAGCCAGAGATGACTGGACCCGGAATACAAGCAGAGAGGTTGGTCTCAGAGTCAAGCAGGGATACTTTTTCCTTACAATAAAAGGGAAGGCAGACTACAGGAGTTTGAAGCTATTCATTAGCTATCTGTTCTGGGGCAAATCACTTAACCTCTTAAACCTCATCCATCAAATCATGATAATTACTCCTACTCTTATAGGGCTTTTAAAGAATGAAAGAATCCATGGAAAATGGTTAGCACAGAGCTGCTGCTCTTTTTTGTTGTTGTTAATCCTCACCCAAGGATATTTTTTCCATTGATTTTTAACCAGTTAACTGCCATGTGTCCAAAACATAATTCCCACACGCCACAATATTTTAAATTTAATTTAAAAAACCAATTTACAATGAATATTATAAATATATTACTCACAATTCGGATGTTCTTGAATATTTTCAGCTTAAAATTCTCACAAAAAATGATTTTAAAGTTGGTCAGGACTGCCACTTAGGGAAAACTTTTTTTTTATAGACGCATGTGGCATGTGGGGAAGGTCCACTGCTTGTGTCTACAGATGTGTATGGCGTACAATGGGTTAAAGAGAGTAGAAGGGAGGGGAGGAGGGGGATAGAGAGAGAGGGAACATGGATGTGAGAGAGACATTGATTAGTTGTCTCCCGTATGTGCCCCAACCAGGGCTTTGGATCAAACCTGCAACCAGGTATGTGCTCTTGACCAGGACTAGAACCCATGACCCTTAGGTGCATGGGCCAATACTCTAACCTCTTAGCAAAGCCGGCCAGAGCCAGAGCTGTTGCTCTTATTTTCCAACCCTGGATCACACCAAGGAGACAGCCACCTCACTGCGGCAACACAAGTCCCTTTCTTCCTTGGTCATTCCTGTGATACCCACCTTATTGCTTGTTATAACTTCCCTAGTGCTCTCTCACTGTCGGGCAGGGGCTCCTACTCATCCTATCTAATAAAGAGGTAATATGCAAATTGACCATCACTCCAACACACAAGATGGCCGTCCCCATGTGGTCAAAGATGGCCACCACAAGATGGCCTGCAGGGGAGGGCAGTTGGGGGCAATCAGGCCAGCAGGGGAACAGTTAGGCACCAATCAGGCTGGCAGGGGAGTGATTAGGGGGTGATCAGGCAGGCAGGCAGGTGAGCGGTTGGGAGCCAGCAGTCCTGGATTGTGAGAGGATGTCCCAGATTGGAGAGGGTGCAGGCTGGGCTGAGGGACACCCCCACATGCATGAATTTCGTACACCGGGCCTCTAGTTCCATATAAAAGAAGAGGGCCAGCCATAGCTGGTTTGGTCAGTGGATAGAGCATCGACCTGTGGACTGAAGGGTCCAGGGTTCGATTCCAATAAGGGCATGTACCTCGGTTGCAGGCTTGATCCCTGGCCCCGGTCGGAGTGCATGCAGGAGGCAACCAATCGATGTATCTCTCTCTGTCTCTCCTCCCTTCCACTCTCTCTATAGAAAAATATCCTTTGGTAAGGATTAATTTAAAAAAACAAATAAAAGAAGAAGGCCACCTTGTATATGCTTTTTACTTATTCTCAGTGTTTTCATAATGAATCTCAGGACAGATTCATTATGGGGCTCAGGTTTCATTTTATTGTTTAATGTTTCATGAAACTCCAATGTTGAACATTTCTTCTCAGCCACAGAACAGCCCCGTTCACTGCACAGTTCACAAAGTCTCAGGATTGGTCCTGTGGAGGAGTCCTGGTTTGCTCCCTCCCCAGACTACCAGCAGGAGGAGAATGAGCGCAGCCTGCAGAATAAACTCCAGGAGGAAGCCAACTACCATCTTTATGGCAGCCGCATGGACAAGCAAACAAAACAGCAACCCAGACAGGGTGTGGCTTACAACAGAGAGGAGGAAAGGAGACGAAGGGTCTCCCATGACCCTTTTGCACAGCCAAGACCTTATGAGACTGTTCAAAACCCAGGGATGAAAGGCCTTGCTTCTTCTAACACAGCCAGTCCTGGGAATGCAGTACACCAACCAGCTGGACTGACCTGCCAATCCCAAGGACTCCACTGGACTCCATATAATCCGTATGATTTTAGAGCAAGACCATTGGGTACAGGAACAATAGATTCCAGATTTTGGTCTGGGCCAAATGCAAGCCAGATACCAGGCCTGCATAAAACTCCAGTACCTGAGACCAACCTGCTGGGAAACACTCCCACCATTCCATTCATCTCCCTGACATCAAGAGGTAAACAGGCCTTTCAGTCCAATCTTGTCTTTTTTTTTTTTCTGAAAATAAAATAGCTGTTAACTCTGTTGTAGACTATAAAGTAACAAAGGGGCAAATTGTTCAGTCTTCAGCTGCCAGATGCAGCTTACACCATGAAAGTCTCCATCCAACCACGTGGCCTGGGTAGTTCAGTTTGGGTAGGATTCGGTGCCGCTGCCTACACGTGTTGGTTTATAGGTTTTGTAACTGGTAGACATCTTCCACTCTAACCTGAATCACATGGTCCCATTATACCCAGTCTCTGGTGCAAGCGAAGGTATCTGCTTATATTCTTTTACTTGCTTGCTGTTTTCTGAAGATAAGAAATAAGTCTTGGATATTTTTATTTCTAATCTCATATAGGCCAAAGGCTACCATTTGTGATGAAAACCACATTGTCACCATCATCCATTTCCAGAACTCTTTTCATCTTTCTGAACTGAGACTCTACTCATCACACAACAAATCCCCATTCTCCTTTCTCCTCCCAGCCCCTGGCAACCAGCCTTCTACTTTCTATGTCTATGAATTTAATTACTGTAGGTACCTCACATAACTGGAATCAATCATACAGTATTTATCCTTACTTCAGTTAGTATAATGTTCTAAAGGTTCATTCATGTTGTAATGTGTGTCAGAATTTCCTTCCTTTTTAAGGCCAAATAATATCCCATTGTATGTATATACCACATTTTGTGTATCCATTCATCTACTAGTATTGATGGACACTTGAGTGGCTTTCACTTTTTGGCTATTGTGAATGCTGCGGCATAGGGATGTAAATACCTGTTTGAGACCCTGCTTTCAATTCTCTCGAGTATATACTCAGAAAAGGAATTGTTGGAACATAGGGTAATTCTATTTTTAATTTTTGGAAGAACTGCCATACTGTTACCACAGCGGCTGTACCATTTTGTATTCCCACCATTAGCACGCAAGAGTTCCAATTTCTCTACATCCTTGTCAACACTTGTTATTTTCTGTTTTTGATAGTAGTCATCCTAATGGATGTGGTTCAGCCACATTTTAAGAAGGAAAACTTTACAAGGTGGCATAGAATAAAGAGTTTAACTTAAACATTTGGAGTGAAGCCCTGCCCTTTACAGTGTTGCATTTTTCATCTTACTTTCAATTTAGGTGTGCTTACCTGTGTGCTTCTCTCTATTCAGATGAGACTGCAAAATATGCCATATACAACAGTGCTGGAGTTCAGATTGGAGACAATAATCATATGGAGGTTGGAGTGAGCTTGCCATTACTGGACAGCACATACGTGAACTGGAACGAGCCAGCTTCTAAGTACCAAGATACCTTTGGTAAGATGCCCATTAAGGGCCCATTGTCTAGAAACCTTGTACTTTCTTCCTTGTTGAGAGGGATGTAGTGGAATCCTGAAGTGTATCTGATTATTCTCCCTGAAAGTTCCCTGTTTCCTCTGTAAAATATCTGTGTAATTTCCATATAATGTCTTTGTCATTTATTTATGTTTAGTATGGGAAAGCTAATTCATGGATTGCTGTGAAAATTAAATGAGTGAAGATGTATAAAGAGCTTAGAACACTGCCTGGCACATAGTAAGATCTACAAAAGGATTAGATCATCATCATCAACATCATTATCCAGACCTAGGACAGAGCTCCTTCAGGTCCTCATCAGAAGGAATTGTATAAATGATAGGAGACTGTGCCCTTAACAGCACCTCTGTAATGAAAATGAGGACTTTCTCTTATAGGGTCCCACTATGCAGGCTTATAACATTAGTCCCAAAACACAACCTGGAGAAAGCAGTCATCAGGCCAAAACAATGTGATTTAAGAACCTAGCTTTCTGATTAACCCTAGGGTTGGCAAATTTTTTTCTATTAAGGTTTAGATAGTAAATGTTTTAGGCTTCACTGGCCTTGAAGTCTCTCTTGCAACTACTTACACAGGAGTGCAGTAGAAGCCACAGACAGTATGTGTGTGGATGGCTGGGTTCCAGTAAAACAGTGTTTACAGAAGTAGGCCACAGGCCAGCGTTGGGCCACAGACCTGGTCTAGCCCACTTGAAGGATAGTTTTTAAAATACCTAGAGCAGAGGTTCCTAAATTTGGGAGAGACAAGGGTATCTTTAAGAATCTGGTGAAACCTAGGGTTCCCTCTTGCTCTAGGTAGTGACGAAATTTGTCAAATATCTCGGGAGGTTTGGGGATTGCTGACGTCCAGTGGTGATGGTAACAGCTGCATTACGGGGAGCTGAGGAAAGAGTGGGAGTTAAGGGGCAAAACTGAGATGTCTTTTTCCTTATATTCAGCTTTCTGAGGTAGAATGAGGATCGAGGAGTATGGTTTGTTTGTGGTGATTATTTTCTATTTCTGTTTTTTTTTGTCATTTTTGTGAAGGCCTAAAGGCAGGAACCAGTAGAAAGAGGGAGGTTATGACTATTGGAGAAGAGAGGACAACAGTTGGGGCAGGGAGGGATGGGTCCAGAAATAGACCTTGAAGAGTATACGTGCCTCATCCCTTAAAAGACAAGGAAGGCATTGTCATTGAGTAGGTAGTTTTGCACTTGATGGTCTCAGTTTCCTTGATTAAGAGGAAAGAGAACTGTTGGGGGAAGGGGCTCAGGAGTTGAGTGACCTTAACTCTGGCTATATGTAAGTGAAAAATGCCCGAAAGGAAAGAAATGGTGTTTCCCCTTTACAGCAGGAAGATCTAGTATAAACAGGACCGCTGGCTAAGGTTGTCTAAAACAGCCTAACAGTCAGGCAAGGGTTTTAATCCCAAAGCCATCAGCTGCAGCTCAGAGATGCATTTGCTAGGAGGAAGAGGTTCCTTATTTTAATTCACAAAAATTCCCCTAATGTAAAGTACCACCCAATGAGTCAATAGCCTTATAATGAAGAAGTTATCTTTTCCACTGGACTCCAGGTGCTCTTCACTTTATACAGGTTTTTGAAGCTAGAATGTTCAAATGGGTTTCAGCTTGACGTCTTCTCCTTTCTTTTTGGCAGATAATACCACTAGTCTGACTGATAAACACCTGGACCCAGTCAGGGAAAATCTGGGAAGGACCTGGAAAAATTGTGCCCGTAAACTGGGCTTCACCGAATCTCAGATTGATGAAATTGACCATGACTATGAGAGAGATGGATTAAAAGAGAAGGTTTACCAGATGCTCCAGAAGTGGCTGATGAGGGAAGGCAGTAAGGGGGCAACTGTGGGAAAGCTGGCTCGGGCGCTCTACCAGTGCTCACGCATAGACCTTCTGAACTCTTTGGTGTTTATCAGCACGAACTAACTAGAAGCAGCTTCGGCAGCATGAAGTCATCTCCTCACTTAGTGAGTGAGCCACTGAGAATGGCTGGGTTCCTACCACCACCACTGCCTCACTGACCTGGGTTCTCTGTCTACACAAAAATCATTTCCTGCATTTCATAACTGGAAATGGGAAAGAAACCTACAGCAAACAACCCGCTAAACTGAATGCCTGAGGCTTGATGAAAAAAGAGCCTTGCCCTAGCTGGTTTGGCTCAGTGGATAGAGCCTCGGCCTACAGACTGAAGGGTCCCAGTTTGATTCCAGTCAAGGGGCACATACCTCAGTTGCAGGATCCTCCCCAGCCCCGGCCCTGGTCAGGGCGCGTGCAGGAGGCAACCATTTGTTGATTTAAGAAAGCTAGGTTCTTAAATCACATTGTTTTGGCCTAATGACTGCTTTTCTCCATTTGTTTCTCTCACATCGGTATTTCTCTTGGTCTTTCCTTCTCTCTTCCACTCTTAAAAAAATCAATGGAAAAATATCTTCAGATGAAGATTTAAAAAAAAGAAAAGAAAAAAGAAGCCTGATGAGCTTTGAAAGGGAAAGCAGAAATATTTGAGGGAGATCATTTTCTTTTACTTTATTCCATAACCTCCAATTATGCTAAAAAATTCGGAGAATGTAAACTAAACCAACTTTCTTATTTTGTGCTCTTTTCTCCACATAGGCTCCTATTATAAACAAAGTATAGAAAAAAACCTAAGTTTTCTTTTTTTTTAAATATATTTTTATTGATTTTTTACAGAGAGGAATAGAGAGTTAGAAACATCGATGAGAGAGAAACACTGATCAGCTGCCTCCTGCACACTCCCCGCTGGGGATTTGCCCGCAACCAAGGTACATGCCCTTGACCGGAATCGAACCTGGGACCCTTCAGTCTGCAGGCGGACGCTCTATCCACTGAGCCAAACCGGCTAGGGCTAAGTTTTCTTCAAATAGATTTTTTGGTATCACTACCACAGTTCATTCCAGTTACAGGGTCTGTTAACATCAGTATGAAATGCTGTATCAGTCACTACAAGCTTCAAGAATTGCATGCAATATCCACACCACAAATTAACTGAAGGGATTTTAAGGTGTACTAAGAAGGGGAAAAATATATAACAAAAACATCACAATTTCCCAGGCAGTTGTTGCAAGAAATTGCTACTAATTATGACAACTACAAAAATTCTTGATTAACTTTTTAAGTTCTTTTTTTTAACATCCTGGCACTTTAGGCACTTTCCCAACCTGTATGCCCTGAGGAGTCAGCAGGCTATGACCAGAGCCTCAGGGCTGATCACTGTTGAATAGCTCCCCAGTCTACCACCACCATGCCCCCCCCTCCCCCGCAGTGTGGTCAGTCTGGCTGTCGGACAGATTCTAGTGTTTGGTGAGGGCTGATAACTGTATTGTTGGTTCTGATTCTAAATCTCCCCCAGCAGTTACACACACACACGTGTACACACAGACAGAAATGGGACTGTAAAGCAGAATTTCTCCATCCCAGCACCACTGGCATCTTGGGCCGGATCGCTCTTTGCTGTAGGGCACTGTCCTGTGCATTGTATGATGTTTAGGAACAACCTTGGCCTCCACCCAATAGATGCCAATAGGCCTGTTCTCCCCCTCCTCCCCTCCTCAGTTGTGACACAGATGTCTCTAGTCTAGACAGTGCCAGATGTTCCCTGGAAGGGCAAAATCACTCCCTTTGAGAAGAGCCTGTGATAAAGTGGTGAACCTCAGTTTTCTCACCACACATTTGCAGGCTCACTACTTAGTTGCCACACAGCATTGATCACAAAGACCAAAAGGAACATGAGGGGAATGGGTCCCAGGCTTTGCTAGTGGGGGCTGGGTGAGTTCTTTTCTAAATGTATCCCTGTACCTCTGTCTTAACAGTGTTGTAAAATCTTTAGCTTCCAAGGTGAGTGAATGATTATTGATAAGAGGCAAAAGTGGCAAGTGTTTTCATTGACTTTTTAAAAATAAAATTTTGTACATTAAATGTAAGCCATTGAAATGATGTGTGTTTGTATAAAAGATACAGTTTAGGGTTCTTCACTGAGACTTTACCACTTAGGTTGGCTGTTCCTATACAAAATCCTCTTTTCACTACCTGCTACTGGCAGCAGAGAGAAAGCTGATGGTAAAAAGAGCATTTTGTCTCAGGGTAAAAGCTAGCACTGCCATCCCTCAGACACGGCTCAGAGGCTGTTCCTTCCGCCGCCACTCTCTCAAACCTGGGCTGAAAAGCGTCTAATTGGTTTCGGAGGCGTTTTAGTACAAGGCACAAGCACCACAAAAACACTAGTCTTTGGCAGAAACCAAGTGAGATGACCGACCACAAAATGAGAAAGAAGAGTATCCGTGATTGGTTCCAAAAAGATATTTAGACCCTAAGGACCGATGGCAAATAAGACCCACTTCCAGCTCAGTCTTGCTTAGCAGATTGCCCACTTGTTGCTATGGTCATAATCTTTGCTTTGAGTCCAGAATATGAAGTTAGGTCTTCAAAAATAAGAAAAGTTCTTTCTTACAAAATGTTTTAAATAGTATTTTGCTGAATATTTTAATGTGTGTTATTTATAGAGAACAGTTTTTCTAATTATACTAATATAAATAAAAATAGGTGCTTAGTCCTGGCTGGTAAGTGGTTAGAGCATCAGCCTGTGGACTGAAGGGTTGTGGGTTCAATTCCCAGTCATGGGCACATACCTGGGTTGCCGGTTTGATCCCCAGCCCCAGTAGGGCGCATGTGGGAGGCAACCAATTGATGTGTCTCTCTCAGGTCAATGTTTCTCTCTCTGTCTCCCCCTCTTCCCTCCCTTCCACTCTCTCTAGAAATCATTGGAAAAAATATCCTTGGGTGAGGATTTATAAAATAAAAAGGTGTTTATAGGATGATTGCAGAGCCTTCTGATCACAAAATTGATCAGAATGGTGATGCTACTGCAGTGAATTCTATAATATGCAATAATTCACATGCAGGATTCTAAAACTGAGCAGACAAATCCCGCTCTGCCACTGTTTAGTTAAATATCTGGGGCCTGCTTCCTAACTCTCTTAGCCTCAGTTTCCTCATCTATAAATAGAGAGGGCAACGTGTATAAGATTGGTGTGAAGAATAAAATAAGATAATGCATCATAAGGTTCCTGGCACAGAAATATAGTTATTTTAAAACTACACTATAATGTTAAACTACACTATAAAGGACTAGTTCTCAAATGTGTACTTTAAATTGTAACCCCAATAATCTAAAACATCACAGTGCTGCCATTTTGCTCACCAGTAGGATAACTGTTGTTAAAATTATAGACAATTATTTTTAATCCTCATCATCTCTGACAAGAAACCCCAATCAACATTTCAGGAAAAAATAAAATGTTGGCTCTACCAAAGATTTGTGAAATTCAAATGACAGCAGCCAGTTGAAATATATATATTTTCTTTCTATTCAGGAAATTTAATGGGGTAGATTTATGTTGAAAGTAGAATATAAATATTTTTGCATATTCCATATTAAGCCAAACCTGCCTTTGCTAATCAAGAAATTATAATGGGCTAGTGAGGACCCCACAGGTAACAGAATTTTCCATGGCTATAACACTTAGAAGCACAGGGGTCTCTTGGAGGAGAAATAATATATGCAAGGAAGCTGTAGTCATCTTGAATAATTCAAGCCAAGACTAAACAGCCACGAATCTGCCAGTCATTTCCAGTTAAGGTAAAGCAATATGGTAGAATAAAAGGGGTGTTGTTTTTCTCCACTGAATCTCCAGATGTTAATAACTTTTATAAAGCTTGAATTATATGGTCATGAAGAAAAAAGTTCTAATTTGTTAAAATACACATGACATAAATTTACCATCTTAACCATTTTCAAGTGTACAGCTCAGTGGCGTTAAGTACATCGACATTGTGCTAACATCACCACCATCCTTCTCCATGACCTTTTCATTTTGCAAAACTGAACATCTGTCCCTATTAAACTACCTACCCCCTGCCCCAGTCCCTGACAACCACCATTCTACTCTCTAAAGAATTTGTCTGCTTTGGGGACCTATATATAAGTGGAATCATCCAGTATTTGTCCTTTTTTTGACTGGCTTATTCTCTGAGCATGATGGCTTCAAGGTTCATCCATGTTGTAGCAGGTGTCAGAATTTCCTTTTTAAGACAAAACAATATTCCAAAAAATATTACTCAGCACCCCCTGGAAATTAATTTTTTTTAAATTTTAATAGCAAACAGAAAGATATATGTATTAATGTTTCTACCTTTTTCGTAAAATATAGTAAAGAAAGGTGTAAATTAGAAAGGTGTAAATTAGAAAGGTGTAAATTGAAGTTTGAAATTATGAAACTATTTATTGAACTCAGAATAGAAAGGTAATACAAAAAAAGTTAAAACAAATGCACCTGTGGCCATCACCGCCCCCCTGGATCGCTGCAGCGCCCACTTTGGGAATCACTGTTGTAGCAGGTGTCAGAATTTCCTTTTTAAGATAAAACAATATTCCATTATAGTCATACACATTGTATTTATACCTTCATTCATTGAGAGACAGTTGGGTTGCTTCTACTTTTTGGCTATTGTGAATAATGCTGCTATGAACTGGAGGTATGAATATTAGTTTGAGACCCTGCTTGTGATTCTTTGGGGGTATATACCCAGAAGTGGAATTGGCGGATCATGGTAGTGTTACACCAGTGAGACAAGACCTCGGTTCTTGTCTTCTTGAGGAAACATTTCAATTAAGAGACAAAGTGCAGCAAAATTTATTGGCTGCAGCAAAAACACACTTAGGACAGTGAGACAAGGAAGAGCATAGAAGAAGCAACAGGAGAGCCTAGGCCAGTGATGGCGAACCTATGACACGCGTGTCAAAGGTGACACGCGAACTCATTTTTTTGGTTGATTTTTCTTTGTTAAATGGCATTTAAATATATAAAATAAATATCAAAAATATGTCTTTGTTTTACTATGGTTGCAAATATCAAAAAATTTCTATATGTGACACGGCACCAGAGTTAAGTTAGGGTTTTTCAAAATGCTGACACGCCAAGCTCAAAAGGTTCACCATCACTGGCCTAGGCTGTCTGCTTTGTCTCACTGAGCAGTCAGAGAAAGGGGGGTCTTGGAGGCAGGTCCAGGGGGTTAGCCTAGCGAACTGCCACTGCCCATTGCTCCCCTGGTTGCGAGGTTTGTGGGTCCCTTAAGAGGGAAGAGGGAGAAAGGGAATGGCTCAGGTGTGCTCCCTGGGGAAGAGCCAGCACTGGGTCCTTTGTGTTGAGGGTATTTATTTCTCTCTTGTAGGTGGGACTCTTAGGGGAGGTCTCAGGGGAAGGTCTCAATAGAATATTCCTCAAGTTTCCAGGAGTGCTCTTTCAGGGTCATCATCTCCTCTGATTGGTCAGCACCAGGGCAGGGGGTCATTAGTCAATGCAGCTGGTCCTGAGGCAGCCAGGATGTCACTTGCCTGGTTTTGATGTTATCGCTCCAGACACAGCGGTTCTCAACCTGTGGGTTGTGACCCCTTTGGCGGTCGAACGACCCATTCACAGGGGTCGCCTAAGACCATCCTGCATATCAGATATTTACATTACGATTCATAACAGTAGCAACATTACAGTTATGAAGTAGCAACGAAAATAATTTTATGGTTGGGTCACAACATGAGGAACTGTATTTAAAGGGCCAGAAGGTTGAGAACCACTGCTCCAGAGGAAAGGTGTGTGTGGTGGGAAGGAGGGGGTTGGGGGGGTAGGAGGGGGGAGCAGTTTGGGGTATTGTCTAAACCACCTGACCAGCCAGATGAAAGAGCAGGGGTCCAAACCGCATGACCAGGGATATGCTAGTTGAGGAAAGGTTACCCTGGGGACCCGGTTCTTGTTTTCCCAGTTTTGTCTCTTGCTAGGCCCCAGGAACTTTGCTCCCTGGTAACCTTCTGCACCTGGTCCATGGTCCGTGCTCTGCTCATGTCTATCTAACTGCCTATAACAATAGTACTATTTCCCACAGCCACTGCACCACTGTATATTCCCAACAATGCACAGGGTTTCTCCACATCCTCCAACACATTAATTTCTGTGTTGTTTTAAAATAATAGCTATTCGAATGAGTGTGAGGTGGTATGAAGAACAAAGATGTTTTAATCACATCATTTCGAGAAGCAAATGCACGTCACCCGCCTTGACAGCCAAACTCCTCGCCTACCCCTTCCTCGCCTCTAGGTGAGCGGGACAGGGGCTGCTCGCCCACCGGCACCGCCAGGTTACCCGGCCGAGCGCGGGGCGGACAGACCCAACGGGGACGTGGCCTCCGGAGCTGGAGCTGGCCTCCCAAGTGAAGACGATCCGTGCCCGGGTGCCCGCAGGACCGCGAGTGCCGGTTCGGTCACGGATCACCAAGCACCCAGATTGCTCTCCAGCGTCCCGCCGCGCTAGGCGTCCCGCGGCGGCTGGTGGTGGGGGCAGCGTGGGGTTGGGGGAGTGGGGGGAGGTGGGGGGAGGGGCTGAGGCCCAGGAGCCTGGGTCGCTCATGCGCTCTCCTGGCACCGGCGCGACCTGGGACCATGGCGACGGCGCTAGGCGGCCGGGGGGCGCTGCGCCTGCGGCTCCTCCTCTCGGCTCTGAAGTCGGGGCCCCGCGTCCCCCTGGCCCGGCCCGCCGCCGCGTTCGGGTAATGGCCCCCTCCCCTGCGCGAGCTCCCGCGACGTGTTCGCGCCCCGGAGGTGGGTGGGGCGGGAGAGGCGCGCGGCTCGGCCTCTGCTGGGGCCCTGGAGCCGGCGGAGGGCGGCGAGCGCGGCGGGTCGCGGAGCCCCGAAGGGCCGGGAGGAAGCGTGAGGATCAGTCCCAGGCTCGCGCGGCAGGTGACAGCCTCGAACCCCGTGCTCGTAGTCGGTTGCTCTGTCCAGTCTCGTAAGACCTTCAGGGCAATAATCTCCTGTTGGGTTGATCGGAAGCCGGCCTGAGTGCGCCTGCGACTCCGGGCGCCTGCGACTCCGAGCGCCCGGGACGGGACGGGAGCCCCGAGCCCGCCTGCCGCCCACCGGCGCTGGTGGTCTGCGGAGGCCCGAGAGCCTGCCTTTCTCCCAGCCCCCCCCCCGCCCCCGCCGCCCCCAAACACACACACACATTTTGAGGTAAAACAACAACAACAAAAACGATTAATCTCTGACCCGCTGTCTTAAAAATGGGTGCCTTGGGTCCTAAGAGATACTAGGCGGACAGTGTGGATAGAGCAGCAAGAATTCCCTGCAGACCTACCTCCCTACACACACACACACACACAATGCATGTATGCAGTTAACTGGTTTGAAATATTTTTTAAAATATATTTTTATTGATTTCAGAGAGGAAAGGAGAGGGAGAAAGAGAAATATCAGTGATGAGAGAGAATCGTTGATGGGCTGCCTCCTGCCTGCCCCCCACTGGGGCATCGAACCATGACCTCTGGTCCGTGCTCACCACTGAGCCACACCAGGTGGGCGCAGTTAACTGTGGATGGGCAAGTTCCATTCGTGATTAGGAAGACAAGTCAAATGCTAGAGAGATTATTGGGAACTTCACTTTATCTAAGGTGGAAACTTCTCATTTGACAACTTAATTTGAAAGGAGAAAGGAAGAAAATGTGACCAGCTTTACATTTTTATATTGTGATTGACTAGGAGTTTCATATTTGGTTTAGGTTCTTTTTTTTATTATAAGTCTTTTAGAAGAATTTCAAGATTGTTTTGATGCAAATGGAAATATATCTCAATGGCCACAGTTGCAAACCACCACTGTAAAATGGAGATTTATCCATTTTCCTTTTTGCAGAACAGGATTGAAATAAAATTACTGTGATTTTAACAATATCAAAGTTAGGTAGGTTATTTAATGGTTGCAGGAGGCTGATTCATTAGCCTTCAAATCATTCTCCCTAATACATCTCAAAAACAGGTTTCTCTGGAATTTGAACTGCCATTTTATAGCTGTGGTTGCAAATTGATGTTACACAATCAGGGAAAATAAGCAGTGGCATTGGTTAATCCTGAAACAAGGCTGCAGCCCAGATTAAGTAGGTAAAAGCGCCCTGTCACAGCTAGTGCCTGACTACAATTGAGTTGTGTTCCGAAAACTTGTTTGTAAGTCTGTTATTTGGAATGCTGATTTCTCTTATTTCTAATCTGGAAGTCATGTTACATACAATTGCAATATTAATAATTTAAAGAACCTAACTAACTGCCTGACAAAAAAAATTTTTGGAGTTGAACCTTGGAATGTTCTTTGGGAGAACCAAAGAGCTTCCTTCCCCTGGCACCACCTTCTGTCAGGCAGTCAGGGTGAGTGGCCCTGGTGCTGGAGCCCTATTGGGGACCCTCTTCAGCCATGAGGTTACAGAAGAAGCATGGCTTTTGGTGTTCAGATGGCTACATTGCCACTTCTGGCTACATTAACCTGAGCAGGTTACTTAACCTCTCTGAGCTGCATGCCTTGCAGAATTGTGCATAGAATTTGAGACAGTGAATGTTAAAGGCCTTGGAGGTAAAAATTAAGTAATTAGTGGGTAAAGTTAGCAATGATACATATATGAATGTCTAAATAACAAAGCAGGGTATAAAAGATGTAAAAGTGTGTCATCAAAATTCATGTAAATCCATGCTCTGCAAGGTAGCTTTATTGTAGCCAATGGTTACTTTGGAAAAAAATATACAAAAGAAATTGCTCAACATACAAGATATAGAGACTATGTAGGATTTTCAAAGTGAGGATGTATCCTATTAATAGTCCCCGTTTTTATTTCTGAGCAAAGTGTAAAAAGTGCCACAGGCTCTGGTATCAGACAGTCAGGTGCTCATCTTGACTTTGCAGCTTCCCAGCAGGCTGACCGGGCAATTGCCTAACCCTCGTAACCATCAGCTTCCTCAATGGTAAAGTGTGGTTACTTGTAATTAATGTGCCTTACATCACAAAATGAAGGAGATGAGATAAGCTCTGAGCAGTCCATGATTTAGTTTAATAGTGACACTAAATGTTAGTGTTAGTTTAGTTATTTGCCCCAAACTCTTACATTCTGACCTCCCCCCACAGTAGACTCTTCCCCTTTGAGGGGAGTGGCTCAGCCCCTCAATCAGGAACTGATTGCCGTTGCATTGCTCCTGACCTTCCCTTTCACAAATTGTCCAGCCTCCCAGAAAAAAGGGAGTCAAGGACAAATACAAGGAAGACATAGGCTCTTGTAGATGGGCATGCCTTTCTACAGGCTGCTTTTAAAAGAGAGACAGGACTTTTTTTTTCTCCTCCAAGAAATTAACTCAGTATAGTAGTTCTTCACCTGGATTACCTATTAGAATCTCTTGGAGATTTAAAAAAATACAAATGCCTGCATCCCACCCCAGAGATGTTGATTTAGTGTAGCCTGGGCATCCAGGGATTTAAATTTGCCAGAAAAGAAAAAAAAACAACTTAAAAATGCAGTTATAATAATTAAAGTGTATTAGGCGCTTAAAGTTTTGCCACATGATTCAAATCTAAGTTTGAGCCCCACTGATATAGCGGGAGGCTGGAAACACTCTCAGGAAGGAGCCGAGTGGGCAGCATGTGGATGATAGTGAGGGCAGGGGGAACTTGATGCCTGCCACCTTCAACCCCAGCGTCCCCTGCTTCCCCGCTACTCTTCTGTCATAACACTTGGCGAACTTCGTAGTGCCTGCTGGTTGCAGGATTCATTATCTGTCTTCCCTGCCCGCCTCCAAGCCACACGGAGTGCCCAAAGTAGGTGTTCAGGAAATATATGAATGAATGGATGGATGAATGAATGAATAGTATAGTAGGGTGTAGGCATTTTACAGAGCACATGCCAGGGTCCTACCCCAGTTACTGACTGGTGGTCTCCCAGGATTGTCCTGGGCAGGTATATTTTCCCTCTTCACAGGAAATTCTAGAGAACACACCTGCTTAAGAACACCTTGGTTAGAGAAGCAATTATTAGGAGGGAGAAAGTAATGGAAACAACAAATTAACTGCCCGAGGAAAGGGATTTACTTTTGTTCTTTAAATTTTCTGAACTTTTCTATCTTTTTTGTAGCTGAGAGTTGGGAAAGTTGGTACTTTGAATGTAGTTGAAGTAATACGCACATGTCAGGGCCCTTCCAGGCCTGCTCCCTGCAGGTGACTCTTCACAGTGTAACAGTGTTTATCTGAGGCCTGCCTGCCATCTTAAGGACCCCTTGATAAGCTGGAGGAAAAAGGCTGTACCCATTTAAATTTTTATGTGAAAATTAATCACTCAATAACTATTATTTTTTAAAATAAAACTTTTTTTCCTATGTTTGAAATTGTTTTTCATTTAATTTATTTTTGTTTATAAGCAGTCCTCTGTCCTGTTTCCCGAGACTGGAGATTGGTATATGTTGATGGCAGTGCACTAGGCCATTTCTTTCCCCTGAACTGCAAACCTGCTCAGCCTCAAAATATGCTCCCTTTTCCCCCCACACTCCTGCCAGGCTGACCTCTGCCCTGTCTCCACATGTGTCTATCACACCATTTCCTCTGTTAGAATCACCCTCCCACTCTATTCTTGGAAGTTCATTTCAAATGCTACTTTCTTCCTCTTTTTCAAATATCTCTGATGAAATCTCTCTGCCTCTTCTTTAAAATATATTTTTTATTTCAGAGAGGAAGGGAGAGAGAGATAGAAACATCAATGATGAAAGAGAATTATTGATTGACTGCCTCCTGCATGTCCCCTACTGGGGATGGAGCCTGCAACCTGGGCATGTGTCCTTGACTGGGAATCAAACCATGACCTCCTGGTTCATAGGTTGATGCTTAACCACTGAGCCACACTGGCCAGGCTGTCTCTCCTTTAAAGCTGCCTCTGCCCTAGTGTTCTGACATCAAGTGCCATCATGCCCCATTTTACACTACCTGATTTTTTTTCTGTATTACTAGGCAACCAAAAGAATATGGGATAGGGATAATAATAAAGAAAAGAAATTTGGAATGGGGAATCAAAACATAGAGCAAAGTGCAGAGGGAAAGTAGAGGGTTTTTTAATAACAGAGATGAGCACTGGAGGGAAGGGAAGCCTGTTTGAGACAGTGCCCTAGGGCTGGCTCCTGGGTTCCTGGAGAGGCAGACAGCAGCACCCAGTCATGAAAACGCACCGGCTTGGACATGGACAGGGTTGGGTGGGGGAGGGGGGGTCCTCTGATGGTGCATAACATCCTCAGTGTACAAAATTACTTCTACAAGCAAGGAAGGGAGCCCCTTAAAAATCTTTAGGGCACAAGGAGTAAGAAAGGTACACATTATCACTGTCGTGAGCTGTGCAAATGCCAGTCATCTTGTCTGGGGAGCTTCCGCATTCCTGGGTGGTGAACACAGGAAATGCATAAACCTTTGCTCCAACTGTGTACCTCAAGTTCTTCCCTCAGTCATGACCTACCCCTCCCTGAGGGTTTGCTGGTGAATCTCTGTGTCTTCATCTTTTCTCCTAATAGACTGTGAGCAAAGCAAATGTGTCAGTAAACAAACATTTGAAATAAATATTAGTACAACATCATTTGCTTTTATCTTGATCCTAGAGTCATCTTGACAATAACAATAAATTAGAGGAATAGGACATCAATAATAAGTAACTTGGCAATGTTGGTATGATACTGCCTCTGTTTAGTGCCTTTATTATTGCTCTCCCATAATATTTCTGTAGATAATGAGCTCATAGTCATGTCAGGCCTTATTACCAATCATATTTTTCCAGAAATTATGTGTTGTTGAAGACTTGATGTACCTGTGTTCAGCACATTTGTTCCAGCATCTGTCCTGGCATGCCATAATGTCCCTTCCTCAAGTCACCCAGCCTTGTGGGAAATTGGGGGAGGCTGCTAGAACCTGATGCGGGGGCCTATATCCCGGCGTAGGTGTCCCAGAACTTCTGGACGAACAGCAGAGGAGAGGAATCAGAACAGAACACCGGGTACGGCACACGCATCATACAGTCAGAGCAGACCCTGGCAGCAGCCCTGGCCCGAGACCCTCTCCGCGCCAAGCATGTGCAGTGAGATGCTGCATCATGGGAGGTCTTGGGCCAAGGAGGGTCGGCGGCAGGGGGAGGGCTCTTGAGATGAGAGCTTATGGACCCAGCTATTTAACTATCAACACAGAAGTATTTCAACATCTTAAAAACTAGTTTGGCCATAACAGTGCAGACAAGCATTCTTAACTAGAACCCTTCTGTAGTTGGCTAAAGAATGTGAGAAGTCGTATGCCTAAGGACAGCCTTGAGATCCAGGCCTTCCCTGTGGGCCCTGGAGATCAGTCTCATCCTTGGGAATGCTGCCAGGGCAGCTGCAGGTCCAGGTTGCTCCTCTGGACCCAGTAAGGTTCAGGAGGTGGTCTGTGCTGCGCAGATGTTCATCATGTTCCAGTGTGGAGCTCCCCCATCAGCCTGCACGTTGGCACTACTGGCTTCCAGCTCCCTGGACTTGTGCCCATGGGCCTGTCTGGTCACTGATTTGAGCAAGCCTCTCAGTACTTTTGTAGGGTAAGCCCCAAGCTGGATTTTCAAACATGAAGACCCAGCCCAGATCTACAGTCCAGTGAGGAAGATACAAACTCATGTCATTTTTCATGTGTGGAAAACAGAAGCACAAATCAGAGAACTCAGAGGCCTGGAAAGGGCACTGGAGCTGACTCGTGTATGAAAGGGCAGTTTTGTCATATTACATTGGCTCTGCCAACTAATACTCTTCCTTTCGGGATGGGGTTTTTCTATTCTAGCACCTCAGTAACCTCCACCAAAGTGGCTGTGAACGGTGTCCACCTGCATTACCAGCGGACCGGAGAGGGCGAGCATGCCGTCCTGCTGCTTCCTGGAATGTTGGGTCTGCAAGGTTTTCATGGACTGCTCTAGCATGCGGTGTGATCCACGAGGCTTTCCCAAGAGTAGTGGCCAAATGCTGATTACTAATTTTAGTGCTTTGCAGAAATGCTTTAAGTAATATTTGCTACAATAAATGTTAGGTGATTTAGAAAGATAACTTTCTGTTATATGTATTTTTTTATTCCTTTATATACCTGTTTTTTTCCCATGCAAGTACACTGTGTAGTTGGTTGCCTACACTTTGGGAGGATGGCAGGGTCAAGGAAAGGGATATGGGAAGAAGGGAAAGACAAAGAAAGCAGATGAGTGAGTGACCAGCCATCCCAGATTGCCTGGAATTCTGGGATTTCCATTTGGGAGACTTTCCGTGCTGAAAGATGGATTGATGGCCCTTTGTGGTTGACTATGTGTTCAGTTAAAATAAGAGCTAAGAACAAAACAGAGCTTACAGATGTTTTGAAAATCAAAATTAGATCAATATGAATGGACTATTGTAAAGCCAGCTGAATCTCAATCTCTTACAGATGAGTGGTTTCAGTGTAGCAAGTTCAGGGGGAGATTTTCTAGTGATCTCAGGACATCTAAAATTTAGTTTTAAGTGTCTTAATATTGGGTTGTTTTGTTTAGTTAAATAATATCAATTTATGCTTATTTTTTTATAATTTGCTTCTTTCTCCTAAAGTATTTCAGTTGATGGTTCCACCTGACTGAACTTGAGCTGAATATGGTACTGTAGCTATGGGGTATCCTTGTCTAGATAGCATTTAGTATATATTTTTCCTTAAGCTATTGTAATGAAAAAGGACATTTACTCCAATGGCTGATGTCGAGCCAAAGCAATCTGTAAAAGCAATAAATAATTTATCAGCTTAGATTTTCATTATTTCAGTATTGCAATCATTATCCAGTTATAAAAACTTTGTTTATGTAAAACATTAACCTGATTCAAAAATCAGACACATAGTGAGATTATTATCTCCAAATCCCCTGTCCCCAGCACCCAGTTCCCCTCTCCACAGGCAGCCGGGCTGTTTTGTAATTTTTTAATGAAATAAACTAAATTGGTTGTTTCTTCCACACCCCGCCCTCCCCCATCATTTCTGTGTTTAATTTTCTGATTTCTAGTTATAACCCAAAAATATCTACAGAGCTATTCACATTTGCTTAGTAAAACAACATCTGGGATTTTAGAATTCTACTTTAAAATAACTTGGATCAAATCTCATAAATTTGTCTACAGATATTATAATCTCTCTCACTTGTAATAGTCATTTTTAAAAAAAGAAAAGAAAAAATAACCCAGAAGCATATCATATCAGTAAGTCTATTTCTGTGCAGTTTCATGATTTATTTTTTAAAGGAAGATTAAGCTGAAGAGGTATCAAAAGTGCAGGATTTCAATAACACAGGACCAAAGAATCAGGGCCTCTGTCTTTCTCAAAGTAGCCACCAGGGGGAGATAAGAGGCAGCTCTGAGCTCCGTAGGGAAAGGAAGCCAACCTCCCAGTAAATGGATTCTCATTGCAAGTAAGGCTCCTTGGCTGATTATATTCTGATGTCTAACTTTGAGTAGAAATGAGTTACTTTGATTTAAGATTGTAATTATTTATTTTTTTTTACAATAATGTGTTTGAAACAGTAAAAGCATTCATCTGAATTAACCAAGTGGCTATTTTTAGGAAGTGGAGAGACTGATTTTGGACCTCAGATTAAAAACCTAAATAAGAAGCTCTTCACAGTGGTCGCTTGGGATCCTCGAGGATATGGACATTCCAGACCCCCAGATCGAGATTTCCCAGGGGACTTTTTTGAAAGGGATGCAAAAGACGCTGTTGATTTGATGAAGGTGGGTCTCTTAGGGAAGAGCCCAGGGGAGGGAGAATGGCTGGACCTGTCATTTATTTTGTTTTTGTTTTTTATTTCTATAAGGTTAATACTGTGTGGTTCCTATAGAAAAATTTTAAACGTTCAAATAGGTATAAAGAAGAAAGTAGAAATATCCCACAATCCAACTATGTAGAGCTACCGCTACTAAGCCTTTGAGGCTTTGCCTTTTTGGCTAATCTTATCTACATATATAAAAGCCTAAGCGACCGGCTGACCAGCCAGTAGCTATGATGCGCACTGGCCACCAGGAAGCAGATGCTAACACAGGAGTGGAAACCACAGGCATGGAAACATGGAACAGACTGATGAATCTCAGAGGGAAGAGGGGAGGTGGGGGAGCAGGAAGAGATTAACCAAAGATCTTATATGCATATCCCTCAGCCTGGCCTGCGGGGATTGGGCTGAAACTGGCTCTCAGACATCCCCTGAGGGGTCCCGGATTGCAAGAGGGTGCAGGCCAGGCCAAGGGACCCCACTGGTGCATGAATCCGTGCACTGGGCCTCTAGTTACATATATAAATACACTGTCTTTTATTGATGGCATTTTACTGTACCTACTGTTTCTCCAATTTGTCAAGGAGATACTTCCACGTCAATAAATATAAGTTTACATCCGCATTTTTCTTCCTGCATTTAAAAAAAATCCTCACCTGAGGACATGCTGGCGGGGAAGGGAGAGAGAGAAAGAAACATCGATGTGAGAGAGAAACATTGACAGGTTGCTTTCTGTATGCTTCCTGACTGGCAATCAAACCCACAACTCAGATATGTGTCCTGACTAGGAATAGAACCGGCAACCTTTTGGTACTCGGGACCACGCTCAACCAACTGAGCCACTCCAGCTGAGGTACATCAGTATTATAATAGGTGCATAGTGTTTCATTGTATGGGTGTACTATTTCTTATTCACATCTTTTCTAATGGTAGATAAATAACTTCATTTTTAACTTGCCCTTTTCTTTGGTGATTATAAACAGCAGTACAGAGATCATTCTGTTGTCTATTGTCATTTTAGTTCTGGTTTTTTTGTTTTTTTATTTGTTTGTTTTCTATTATAACAATGCTGCTGTGGATATCCTAGACCTATTTCCTGGTACATATGCGTAAGAGTTCCACACCCATTTAGGAGATGGCTGGCTGGGTTACAGAAAATGCACGTGTTCATTTCACAAGGTAGTGCCAAGTTGTTATCCATAGTAGTTATCCCAGTTTATCAGGAACTATCTTGGACTGGTATTTGTTAACTCCTTAACTTAATTTTCCCAATTCAAGTTTTACTTCTAGACAGCATTTCTGTCAGACAGCATCTCTGTTCATTTTCCCTGTGAAACACATTTTCAGAGCCCCATTGGTTCACTCTGGGACTAACATAACCTCCCCATGATACCATACCCCTCCAAACTTCCTCCAGCCACTTCTTCACAATGTTGCAATTAGGGACTTTACCAGATGTAATGACTTCATTTCATCCAATGTCCCTTTCTAATCTGCACAGCTGTTCTCAAAATCTTTGCTCAAGTGTGCATGTTATTGGTCATGTCCAAGTTCAGCTGATCTCCATTGTTTCCAGTTCCTTGAGATTTTATCCAAACATAAGTTGTTCCTTCAAAATTCAAAACAATATTTATGACAATTATATTTATACCAAACTAACTGAGAGAAAGCATTTATGTTATCAAGTGGTAGACTCAAGGATTTTTTCATCAATTACCAATTGATATTCCAAACCCACAGCTATATTGATTGTTAATTATTGATTATTGGGTTCTTTTGACAGAGAGGAGCAATAATCTGTGCTTTGCTTTTTGTTGTGTTTACTGCAGACGCTGAAGTTTAAGAAGATCTCTTTGCTGGGGTGGAGTGATGGTGGTATAACAGCCCTCATTGCAGCTGCAAAATACCCATCTTACATCCATAAGATAGTGATTTGGGGGGCCAACGCCTATGTGACTGAGGAAGATGAGATGATTTATCAGGGTAGGTTCCATAGACGTCATGATAAGTAGCATCCTCCTCTCCCCTCTCCCCTTCAATTCTTATTTTGATATGTCCTGGCAAGCCATATCTCATCCTCTTCTAGTTCTCATTTCTAAGGTAGGAATAATAATTTCTCAGAAAAGTAATGCAATTTAGCCAGTCTTTGATTTAAAGCTTTCTCTTTCCAGAAGTGGCATGTTTATGATTCAGGAAAGGGCAAAACTAGTTTTTACATTTTCTCCTACTTGTAGTGAACTTATTCATAACCTCATTTAAAATAATGTGAGTGCAAAGGAAATATTGTATTCAAATATGAAACCTGATTTTTGATAAAGAATGTCTGTGCTATTCACATTTTTAATTTTATTTTTTAATATTTTATTAAATGTAATGGGGTGACATTGGTCAACGTAAGTTTCAGGTGTGGATTTCTATATTATAAGATCAGTATTTTGCACCATGTACTTACCACCCCAAGTCAAATCTTGTCCTGGCATCATATATTAGGACCCCTTTCTCCCTCATCCCTCTTGCCTCTGGTAACCACCACACTGCTGTTTGTTTTCATGAATTTCAGTTTTATATCCCACATATTACTGAAATCATATGGTTCTTAGCTTTTTCTGACTGACTTATTTCACTTAGCATAATATTCTCAAGGTCCATCCATGTTGTTGCAAATGGCGAAATTTCATCTCTTCTTAATGCCAAGTACTATTCCATTGTGTATGTGTACCACATATTCATTGTCCAGTCCCCTGTTAGAGGGCACTTTGGTTGTTTTCATGGCTTGGCCACCATGAATAATGTGGCAGTGAATATAGGGATGCATATATCTTTGTGAATACACGATTTCAAGGTTTTCGGGGATATACCCAAGAGAGAGATTGTTGGGTCATATGGTAGCTCTATTCTCAAATTTTTGAGGAATGGCCCGACTGCTTTCCATAGTGGTTGTACCAGTCTACATTCCCACCAGCAATGGATGAGGGTTCCCTTTTTTCCACAACCTCTCCAACACTTGTTATTGCTTATCTTGTTGATAATGGCCATTCTAACTGGTATAAGGTGGTATCTCATTGTAGTTTTGATTTGCATTTCCCTAATTGCTAGTGAGGTTGAACCTCTTCATATATCTTTTGGCTGCTCATTTGTCTTCTTGGGAGAGGTCTATTGTTAGGTCCTCTTCCCATTTTTTGATTGGGTTGTTTGTTTGGTGTTGAGTTTTATGAGTTCTTTATATAGTTTAAAGAAAATTAAACCTTTGTCAGAGCAACTATTTTCAAATATCATCTCCCATCTGGTTGGCTGCCTCTTTGTTTTGTTGTCAGTGTCTTGCTGCTTTTATTTCCCTTGCCTTTAGAGTTAAGTTCTTAAAATGCTCTCTATGACCAAAGTCCATAAGTTTGGTACCTGTATTTTCTTCTATATAACTTATTGTTTTAGATCTTATATTTATGTCTTTGATCCATTTTGAATTAGTTTTTGTACATGGGACAAACTATAATCCAGTTTCATTCTTTTGCCTGTGGTTTTCAGTTTTCCAACCATTTATTAAAGAGATCATCTTTACTGCATTGTGTGTTTCTGGCTCCTTTATCAAAAATTATCTATCCATATACATCTGGTTTTATAGCTGAGCTCTCTATTCTGTTTCATTGATCTGTGTGTCTGTTTCTCTGCCAGTACCATGCTGTTTGATTATTATAGCTCTGTAGTATATTTGAAGTCTGTAGCATGATACCTCAGCTCATCTTTTTTTTATCAGAATGCCTGCTATTGGGGTCTTTTGTGTTCCACACAAGTTTGATGATTTCTGTCTATTCTTTAAAAATTACATTCAGAGGCAGAATCAATTGCCCTACTTGTTGGAAGACCTCTTTCCCCACCTGTGGACAATTGCCTGAGGCTACTCGAGACTGAATACAATCAGTCTTCAGGCAGAGGCAGGTCTCTGGAGGCTTTGAGTCTTTGCCTGATTAATTAGTCATAAAAAGCATTTGACACTGTCCTGCACTAGATATTGGGAGGCATAGCAGATCTAGTTAATACATCGTCACAAACCCAAATAGGCAGGCAAAATGGGGAGACAAAAAACAACAATCTACAAATCAAAGAACAAGAGAATTTTCCAGAAGAAGAGGTAACTGAAACGGAATAAGAAATTTATCAGACATAGAATTCAGAATAAAGATGGCAAAGATGCTCAACAGCATGAGAAAATATATAGTAACTATGAAGAATGGCATAGCACTAATAAAGAACACAGTGGAAGGAATACATAGCAGATTAGGGGAAGCCGAAGGTTGGATCAGTGAATTCGAAGACAGGGTAGAAAAAAATCACTCAATCAAAGAACCAAAAAGAAAAAAACAATTTAAAAACAGGAGGGCACTTTAAGGGAGCTGTGGGACAACATAAAACGTAACAATCCTATCTAATAAAGAGGGAATGTGCAAATTGACCATCACTCTGTCACAAAATGGCGGCGCCCATAGCCACAAGATGGCAGTGCCCAGTCCCCTCAGCCCTGCTGGAGTCCCCCAGTCCTTTCAGCCCCACTGGGGTGAGGGGGGGGCAGGCATGTGGTGCAACCAGACCACCCTCAGGCAGGTCTGGTCGCTCCTTGCACCTGCCACCAGAGTCCCAAAGTCCTTTCAGCCCAGCCGGGGCGGGGAGGGGCGGCAGGCGCATGGTGCAGCCGGACTCACCCTCAGCCCCCCCAGCTGCCCAGGGCCGGCCCAAGGCACAGGAAAGCCTTGGATGGCGAATGCCCAGCCACCTAGGGCCAGCCAAGGCTTGTGCTGCTGGCAGTGGCAGCAGCAGAGATGTGATGGGGGGCATCGCCTTCCCCTGATCACTGGGTTGCCTCCCACCCCTGAGGTCTCCCAGACTGTGAGAGGGGGAAGGCCGGTCTGAGGGACCCCTCCTCCAGTGCATGAATTTTCATGCACTGGGCCTCTAGTATTTGCATAATAGGTGTCCCAGAAGGACAAGAAAGTGAGCAAGGAATAGAGAACATGTTTGAATAAATAAAGGCAGAAAACTTCCCTAACCTGATGAAGGAAAAAGTCACACAAGTACAAGAAGCACAAAAAGTCCCAAGCAAGAACCCACACAGGCCCATGCTCAGACACATCATAGTTTAAATGCCAAAAATTAAAGACAAAGAGAGAATCTTAAAGGCAGCAAGAGAAAAGTAATTTGTTACCTACAAGGAGCTCCAACAAGGCTGTGTGTTAGTACAACAGACACAAACTTGATGACCTCCATGGGGTCCCACTCTAAGCAACCCTCCTGGGGATCAGTCACAGAGGGAAACAGTGGTTCTGCAATAGCTCTTGGTTACAGATAATATGCTCTTTGACACAATTCCAAGGGCAATGGGAAGTGAGTTTTGGGATTCCAAGCAGCAGCAGGGCTCTGTGATTCCATTTCTTTGTCTGAAACACCACTGCCAACAAGACAGTGGAGAGCCACACGGCAGAACCCAATGCTCTGATGTCTGTTCTCTCTCTTGCCTCTCACCCTACTGGTCTACCCTCCCTCCCCCACAGCTCTCTGTTCCTCCTGGCTGGGTGTGAGCTCCCAGTTGCTGGCTGCGTCTTCGGGTCACCTGCGCTTTCCCTCTTCTTGTCTCCCTGTTTATTCCTGGTTGCTCACCTTTAGATGTTTTAATGCATGGGTCTCTCAGGTATGCATCTGTGTTGAGCAGGGATGTATTTGTTGAATTATAGTTGGTTAACTTGTTGAAATTTCATGGGGAGAGAACAAGGGGTTTTTCACACCGCCATTCCTCTCTATTGACATGTTTTAAGACAGTACAGCTCGTTGCTTGGAGGTGGGATTGCCCTACAGGCTTATCTTTAATGTCTGTAGAGACATGAGAACATTTCCAGTTCACCATCTGTTTTTGTAAGACTCAGGCACCAATGGGGAGGCTATTGTAGTGGGTGTTCCTCTTCATCCCCATTTCCTCCTCCACTTCCAGTATAGCTACCAGGACCTGGATTGGTGGCCATGTACACCTTGGTGACTGTTGTTATAACAAG